TCACCTTGCCTGTTTCGACCCCAACCTCGCTGTCACTTTCCAGTCACAAACTTCCTCCCCTCCAACCGCAAACTCCCTCATCCAACCTGCTACTTCCAACAACCCTCCCTGTCCCTTTACTACCATCTCCAACGCTCCGCTGTCGCCATCCTGATCACAATCCACCACTTCGCCCTAGCCTTAGAGTGCTCCTTTGTGTTGTGCTATTTTTCAATCATCAACGTCGTTGTTGTAACCTATTTGAATTTTGCAGCAATAATATTTTAGCATTTCTATTGTGGTTTGGGTTTAGTCTGATATCTTTTGGTTTCAGAGCTATCCCAACCCTAGCTTTATCCTAGGGTTTTTCAACATCCGCCTTACCACCCCACCAAAAAAATTATTTCCTTTTCCCAATCCATAGCCAAAACTTTGACCTAATCTTAGTTTCCCCTTGCTCATCTTCAAAATGAACAACCCTAATTTTTTTTGCCCTCTTTCATCTACCACTCCAAATGCTAGCCATGCCGCCAAGGAGATATATGTCCGAGTCTACCCGGGAAGAGATACAACAAGAGATCCTCTGACTTTAACAGAGATTGGCGGACGTTGAGGATGACACTTAGGAGAGATTTGCTCTTGGTGGTGACAAAGAAGGTTGAAGAGGAGAAATGGACGAAAATTTTTTACCCTTCCATATGGAGGAGTGATGACGATGAAAGGCCGTGACGTTTTAGAATCCACTAGTAGAGGAGGCCTACTGAGGAGACATCAGTTGGATGACATAAAGACTATGAAATCAAGGTGGACCTACCAGAATTTGATGGAGTTATGGATCCAAATGAATTTATTGATTGGTTACAATCTATTAAACGATTATTTGAATATAAAGATATGCCAGAGGATAAGCAATTCAGATTAACTTTTATCAAGTTGAAAAAGAGTGTCTTTTTATGGTGTTGGAACTTACAACGACAGGAGAAGAGAATGCATTGAGCAGATTACTTAGTGAGAGTAGATGAAGAAACAATGCATTTCATCTCATTACCGCCAAAACATGTTTCTGAAGCTCCACCATTAGCAACAACGAGACCTTTAAGTGGAGGAGCATACAACTTATTTTGACCACTACAGATGAAATACGAGCTGAACGAGCCATATGAGCACACTGTAGTCCTCTACCTTGGCGGCCTCAAGCCCGCTATTAGCAATGTGGCACAACTGCAGCCTTATGGGTCACTTGGAGATGTTCAAACCTTAGCACTGAAAGTGGAAAGAGAACAGAAACAGAGCTGACATCTACACCAGTTAGGCAACCACCCACAGTTGGAGAAACCAAAGGAGCGCACCTCAAGAAATCGCGAAATTTAGTTCGGATAAGGACAGAGCCACCCCCGGTATGAAAACGCTAGGAAAGAGTAGCATGCTTACTACAATCCTCGCTAGACAATGCTTCAAATGCCACGAATTTGGGCACATTGCCTCTAGCTGTCGAGCGGGGTTATATCCTTAATGAGCAGGGCTCCGTGGAGTAGGTTGTTAGCAACGAGGAGGAAGCTGAGGAACATGTTGAGATGTATCATCTGCCACAGGATGAAAGAGAGACACTCATGGTTTGACGGGTCCTAAAGACCAAAAATATGAGGGATTCACAGTGGCTTTGTCACAATATATTCTACACCTGTTGCATCGTGAACGAGAATGTATGCAGTCTCATAATCGATGAAGGGAGCAGTAAGAGCGTGTCATCTACACAGATGGTGAATAAGTTGGGACTCATGACTCAGAGACAGACCCAGTCGTATTCTCTGACGTGGTTGAAGAAGAACATAACATTGAATGGAGGTGTTTAGTGGAGTTTTTGATTGGGAGCTAGCTGCAGGACTAAGTGTGGTGTGATTTAATCTCCATGGATGCCTGCCACCTTTTGTGGAGAAGACCGTGTCAATTTGACCGGAGGAGTCAACACGATTGATCTAGAAACTCATATTCCTTCGTCAAGGATGGAAAACACGTGGTACTTCTCCCTTCGGTGGAACACGAGATCTCATGTGCCTTTGCCAGCAAAGCCGCATCGGTGGGACAAGTTTTGGTAATAACAGAGGATGATAGTACCGAGACACCAACTATAGACACGGGACATGCACGACAAATGTCATTTCAGAATATTAGGGTCGATACCTTACCACTAGCGCCACCAACGTGTTGGGAGGTTCAGTTACCCCCACTTCAGATCTGGTTAAGCCCACCGTGGATGGCTTTGAGAGTAGTCAACAACTGAGGCGAGACATGCAAACTCAATTCAGTTCAATAATAGATTCCTAGAAGATTGGGCGATATGGATGTTTGCTCGTAAGTTGAAAAAGATCCTCACGTGCCTTAGGGGATCAAGCAGTCTCCAGTGAGATTCAAGTGCTGCTAGGATTATTGATTAGGACCCAGAAGTTTCGCCGAATAAATTCAAAGCTCCTAGATACCGAAACAAGTTAGGATGTAGCTGAACACAAAAAACAAACTTTTATCAATATAGAAATATGATTGCAACATGACTCAAATGGAAAGAAAATACAATAGTAGACTAATCTCTCGTTAAGGGTGTAGGAAGAGATTCAAAGGCGGTGGTGGCGTCGGCGGGGTGGGAGGGAAAGATTGGGGAAGGGCGAGGTGCTGGAAAGATTGGGGAAGGCCGAGTTGCTGTTTGGGTAGGTTGAAATGGTGTATGATTGGTTGTAGGTAAGATGGACTATAAGGTTGTGGAGGAGAGTGTTTGTCAGCTAGAGAGAGAGGTAGGAGAAGGGTTGGGGAGAAGAAGTGCAGGATATTGGAAAGATATAACACCATCTCGGAGTATGATACAACTGGAGCACCACCCGTCGTTGGATACAACCCTAGCAAGAGGAAAAATGACTCCACACGGGAGGCTTGAAGACAAGACAGTTAGAACTGACCCTTACACACAAAAAACATCAATTTATAGACTCATATTGGAGAAAGATAGGAAAGAAAAAAGCCACACAAAAGGAAAGCAGAAGAATAAAAAAAAACACTTCCTTGAAACGGTAGCCTTGCGATGCTCCTTCCCGGATTGCGATAGTTCGCGATCCCGCTTCTACTTCGCACCTCCTTCTGCCCTTACGAGGGTTCACGACCTGGCCCCCGTGGGTTCAAAGCACCCCGCTTCGGGCCGCTTTCAACGCACACACCCGAGCGTTGTTTTAGCGCCCGCATCACTCTCACTCCCCCAACCTCGGGAGACTAACGCGGGGGCTTGGAGTTGAACCGGCCCCAACCGGTTCAACAAGGGAATGCTTGGTCTAACAGGAGGCTAGACCCATCCCCTTCTTTTCATTGTGGGGGAATTATTCCGCCTTAATGTTTTTGTTTCTTGCTCATCCATCTTCTATTTATATATGTATTGCTCTCCTAGGGTTTAGTTTTTTTTTTTAATTTAAGATTTATGTTCAACTTGCCATCAACAATTTTTTTCCCCTTTTAGGGTTGTATCCGAAGGTGGAGAGGTGTTTCGACAATAACTCGTCCGATGTGGTGCTCTTCTCCCAAGGTTTGAGGGGTGCTCCTGCTGTAACTCGATCTCACGGGGATATCTATCTTCTCTTATTCCCCTCCACCATTTCCCTCTCACATTCTCCCAACCGCCCACCCTTGATTCTCCTTCCTGCTGGGTCGCTGGAACCCCATAACCCCGTTGCTCACCACGCCCGTCTCCCGAATTGCGTTTTGCTTGTTGGTCACCCGTTGTTCCTCTTGTAACTTCCTTTCCACCCGACTCCTTCCCTCTTCTCACAAGATACGACCACGCTGCCTAAACACCCCTTCCCCCTTCTTACAGGATTCTGTCGTGAATCTACCGTCTGCTCCAACCCAATCCTGCTGCCACCTTCCAACTGTAGCCTTCCCTCAGTCAGCCCATGACCCTTCCCCTCCAACTGTAAACTCTCTCTTCCGGCTGGCTGCATCCAACAACCCTCCCGATCCCTTTCCTACCACCTCCAATCCTCCGCTGCCGCCATCCCGATCACAAACCACCATTTTCTTTTGGCCCTAGGGTGCTCCTTTGTGTTGTGTTGCTATTTTTGGATTGTGAGCGTCATTCTTGTAACTATTTGAATTTTCAACAATAATATTTTTGCATTTCTATTGTGATTCGGGTTTTGCATCTCAATTTATGTGAGCTCAGTTTCTAAATCTGTTCGGGCTGTGATCAGTTTCATTTTTTACCACTCACATTAAAGTCTTACATTTTACTATTGCACGTAATAAACTAACATATCTCCCATTATTTTAATATTATTATATTGCTATTAAAAGAAAAAAAAACTATATAAAGTTGAAGGTTTAAAAAATGAGAATTCATTCATCCAATTTTAATCAAACAAATACTTACAGTGACCCAAGAAAGTACTTGAACAAGAGTGAAAAGAACAGGAACAAGAAAGGAAAGATGGAAGAAATGGAAAGAATTGGATTTTATCTGTGCGATGTCTGAAATACATCCTTTCTATTCCTACCCTTCTAATCTAATCTAAATAAACAGTAGTGCTTTTGCAGCTGATGAGATCATGAGAATCCTATCAAGCATTGCTAAGGAATCAGGATGCCTAACATGGGTTGCCTCTTTAAAATTTCCACAAAGACTTGAAGCGCATGCACGAGAGTTCAAAGGAGGAAAATACAAAATTAATAATTCAGTGGGTCTATCAGAGTATAAAAACCGTTCTATGCACATATGTGTTTAGAAATATTCCATGAAAAGTGAGATCAATGATGATTTTTTTTTCCATGACTCAGAAGTATGGTCTTGAAATGTTTACGTATAATCAATTAATCTTCATGTGTGGTTTGGTTCTCTTTAATGCTAACTAAAGAATAGATACATACCCAACTATGGGATTCTAAACAAAAATGATTAAAACGGTAAAGTTCTTTTTTCAGGCTTTCATTCTGTTGAAGCTTATTAAAGAACCTCTAATACGAATTTTTTTTGTCTTTACTCTTTACAGGTTCATACTTCTAGTAAAGCTTGTGCTGCTAGCTACCCTTGCACTGTGCAGAATAAGATTGTGTGGTTTTGGCCAAGTACTAAACCTCTACACAAAAATATCTTGATGAATTGCAAACCTCCTTGTATCTCAGAACTTGATGATCCATCATACGCTTCCTTAATGGGGATTCGAGATATTTCTTATGGGTAATATGCTGCTAACGCCCTCTTTGATATCACTTTCTATTTTTTTTTTTATTTTTTGTATTTATTTTTAGTTTGTTTTATTTTAGTTAATTATTACTTTATGTTTTAAAAAAACATGTTTCTCACTGTAATTGTTTTTTTGTTTTCAAAAATAAAAAATAAAAAAAAATATGTTTGTTTATAAATTTTCTGTTAAATTTTTTTTTTATAAAAATATATAAACATATGGCTATTTATGTACAAATCACCTATTTATGAGTTTACATAAATGTCACTTAAATTTCACTTTTTTACATTTATACCACCATGCTCTTTCTAATCACACCAAAAATATTACTCGTTCTAACCATGTAAATATGGATTTTGTACCAAAATAATTTTGAGTTTCGATAGAGCAGGTCAAACAACCTTTTCATGGTTAAACAAGTTGAACTGACAACATGGTTTTAAAAGCTCAACAGTTGTGTTAGAGCCCAACACATAAAAACTCATCGAAATCAATTTAATTATAATATGTTGCATTTCATATATATAGAAATAGTAATAATGTTACAGCAATAATATCAAATTTGTTACATCGAAGAATGCTGCCTTCTAACAAAACATAAACTCATGAGGGTGCTTTCAATATAAATAAATACCACTGCCAACAAAAGTGAACATGTATTGACATATTACATAGATAGCCAATTTGTCCTATCAACATAAAGTACAAACAATTACATAGATAACACTTGAAACATTTCGAGTCGAGCTCGAGCCATTCTCTATGTGATTGTTCGTACTTGAAACATAAAGTTCGAACAATTACATAAACTCTTGAGGATGCTTTCTTTTATGTATTCAAAGGTTTGTACGGACTAGGGATGTAAACATTTCGAGTCGAGCTCGAGCCATTCTCGGCTTGAGCTTGATTAAATTTATTGAGTTTGAGCTCGAGCTCAAGCTTAAATTTGAGAGTTTGAGCAGACTTGTTTATTATAAAAGTGAGAAAATAATATTAATTATTGGTAGTTTTATAGTAAAATGATAAATAAAATCAGCAATTATGAGAGAAATACTAAGAAATCATTTAATATAAAATACAAAATAATAAATTTTAAATATTTTTAATACTTTAATGATAAATTATTCAAATTTAATATGTTTTGAATATATTTTTTATTAATATTTTTTTAACCAAGCCGGCTCGCGAGTTCATGGCTCGAGTCGAGGCTAGCTTGAGCTTGGCTTGTTAGCTCATCGAGCTCAGTTCACTAGCAACGTATCGAGCCGGCTCATGAGTTAGTTTTATTTACTTAGACTCGTAGTACGAACAATTACATAGATAACACTTAAAACATTGCTACATACATAACTATCACCCACTTGAAACAATTACATAGATAGGAGGTGAAACATTGCTATATACAAAATTAGCACCCACTTGAAACACTTGCATATATAGTTCTTTAAACATTGCTACATAAATAGAATAAAATGTTGAGGTTTTTGTTTGTTCCATCACAATGCCAAGCCCTAAAAATATCTACAATAGGTATAAATGATAAACACATGCAAATAGGAAAAAATAAATCAAATCCCTAGATCTAGAAAGAGGAAACACTGAAAAAAATTAATCAAACCTTTGAATACATAAAAGAAAGCATCCTTCAGCAGTGCCCTAGTTATGAAAGCAGAATGACTGAAGAGAAATCAAAAAATGAAAGGAAAGAAGAGCTCACCATGCCCGTGAGAGTCGAAAGAGCGAACGTTAGCATCGTTAGTTGAAGTAGAGGCGATGAGAGTTGTGTCGCTAGCTGAAGGAGAGGAGAGGAGAGCTAAGCCAGGCCGATGGACCTATGATGGTAGTCAGTCCGAAGAAGCGAAGGAAAGGGGGGGAAGATAGGAGATTGGGATTTGATTGGTTTAGGGCTCATCGTGAAAAAAATATGTTTTTGAAACATAGAAAGCACATTTATCATGTTTTCTCTATTGTAAAATTACATCCTTTGTGTTTAAAAATAAATTTAAAAATCCAATGAAAAAAACGGACAAACATACAATTTCTTTTTTCTGTTTGTTCTTTATTTTTTATTTTTTAAAACAAAAAACAAAAAACCAAAATTCATCCCAAACAACACCTAAAATTTTTATAATATCTTATACTTTTCTTACTGTGCTTCGACAGGTTAGAAATGGATATATGATTTTTTTCTGTTTGCACCCCAAAAATTTGACCCTTTCAATAGGAACACCTTGTTTAGCACTCTAAAACATCCTAGCAATTTGATACTAGTGCTAAAGATGGTTATGGTTAGCTGACCTGCGTTTGATAATTGGTCCGAGTTATGAAAACACTAGAAGTGCCTAAGTGGATCAGCTCCAACTCAGGTTGTGCCAAAAGAGGATGAATACTTATCATATGAGGATGTGCTTTGGCTTGACAGATCCGACGAGATTGACTTACCGAGAACATACAACATTTCCGCTAACTTCAACATGGCCGAACTGACGTTATATTGCAAGGAGATAAAAACTTGGATGGATGAGGTCGCATCTCCTCCAACTCTGGGAGACTGATGTGGGAGCATCTCTCGCACTGATGCGTGATCACGAGTGTTGGGGCTCAAAACCACTTTTGGGCACATCCAGACGGCCTGGGTTAGTGTATTGAGAACCAGTTGGTTCTTCCAAAGGAAGTACCACCTCTTTCAAGTTAGAGGGGTCCACTCATAGTTATCCTATTACCATATATTTGATTCCTGTGATTTCGATTTTCAATTTTGAATGTGTTTGACAACCGATGTCTCATGTTTTCCCATCTAGGGATGTATCCAAGGTCGAGTGGTGCTCCGATTGTTTCTCGTTCTAAGGGATGGATTCTCCTCCATGTGTTGAGGGGTGCTCAAGCTGTATCTCACTCTTAAGGCGGTATTTATCCTTCCCTAACTCCTCTGCATCCCTCCCGCTCCAGTACCACACATCTCTCATCACATTAGCTGTCCCTAAATAGATCTTATTTGTTGTTTTCACTACTGTTTTTCAATTCCAGCCACCTATCCTCGTTGTCGCCGCCTCGGACAGCTGTCGTCTTGTTGTCCAATAGTTCCCCGTATCCTTCGTCATTACCGCCTTCATTCCCTCTCTGGTTCCGCTGCGACTCTAGCCCTCCCAATTATTGTCCTTGCTATTATGACCCTTCTCCTCCACCTCCTCTCAGCCTTTTTCCTTTGCTTGAGCAGCCTCGTAACTCCGTAGCCTTACTGCACTACCGCTGCCCAACCGTCCTACATCACCGCCACAGCCTGTCGTATTCCCATTTTGCTGCTGACCCAAGGTCTCACTCTCTAACCACTCTTTGCTACCTCTTAGGAGGCCCAAATTTTTGTAGATCACCCTGCCCTCCTTCCCCCAATCCAAAGGTTGAGTGGTGCTCAAGCTGTCTCTCGCTTTTAAGGCAGTATTTATCCTATCCTAACTTCTTTGCATTCCTCCCGCTTCGGTACCACACATCTCTCCTCACTGTAGCTGTCCCTAAATAGATCTTATTTGATGTTTTCACTACAGTTTTCCGATTCCAACCACATATCCTCGTTGTCGACGCCTTGGACAACCGTCTGCTTGCTTTCTAGTAGTCCTCTACATCCTCTGTCGTTGCCGCCTTTATTCCCTCTCTGGTACCGCTGCGACTCCAGCCCTCCCAATTATTGTCATCGCTATTCCGGCCATTCTCCTCCACCTCCACTCAGCTTTTTGCCTTTGCTTGAGCAACCCGTAACTCCGTAGCCTTACTGCGCAACCGCTGCCCAACCGTCCTACGTCGCTGCCACAACCCGCCATATTCCAATTTTGTTGCCGCCCCAGTGTCTCACTCTCTAACCATTCTTTGCTACCCCATAAGAGGCCCAAATATTTGCAGATCAACACCACTTTCCCGCCCCGCCTCCCCCCGCCCCAGCCCTAACTTAGGTTTGTGTTGTCAATAGTTGCAATTTCAATTTTCCTATACTTAGTTGTAATTTCCTTCATAAATTCAACAATAATATTTGTTTTTCTAGTGTTGTTTGGGCTAGCTCCAATATCATTATTTATCTATATAATGGACACATCATATTTGTGTGGTTTGCATATTATCATTAAAAAATATGTAAAACATAATAAACATAAATCTTCATTATCTTTAGCTTTAGGAATTAATTTTAATATATTTATTCATGATGAAGCATATTAGTATTTCAACATTTATCATTATATGTTTCTTATCGAGTGTATCATTCATTAGTTGTTTGCATTTAATTATTTATAGGAGTTTGCATAATGAGAGTTGGAGATACATGAAAATCTAAATTGGCTAAGATAATAATTTATCGAAACCCTGAATGGTTTTCTACAAGAATCCCGAGTAAATTAACTGCTAGAAAAGTATAATTATATAGAGTGATACAATAAATTAGGATGAATACTTACAAGTCACTAGTTAGAGATACCAAAAAACTATTGTATTGGTCCAATTTTTAATTTTTTTGACTTTACATCATGATCATCAACCAAAATTTTGGATTCTTTTTTCTTATAATCTTTTTTGGGATTCACATATAGGGTTATCAATAATCTAATTTTTAGTTGATCTGATTTTGTGTCAAGACCCGCTTGAAAGCTCAAGTTCATTTGATTCAGTCTCGAGCCAAATTTGTTTACTAGTCAGCATAATCCAATCTATATTAGAGTCTTACATATCTTATTATATATGAGTTGAGTTCAATCCAAGCTAAAAATTGATTTAATCTTATTCAGTTTTGATATCTTAAGACAAATTTAAATCCAATATGAATTCATATGCTCACATATTTAGATTTATGTTTATGTTAATAGATAAACATATGTTGCATCAATTTAAATCTAAATTTATTTATAAATATGTGTGTATATGCATTCATATGTGCATGTATATACATTTCTAATGGATTCAAGCTGCCTCGATCTAATCCATTCTCAACTTAAATCAAATTTTATCTGAG